AGTGTAATTGTTTTGCCTGTAAGTGTTTTAACAAAGATTTGCATACCACCACGAAGACGAAGAACCAAATGAAGTGTTGATTCTTTTTGAATATTATAATCGGATAATGTTCGACCATCTTCTAATTGTTTACCAGCAAAGATCAATCGTTGTTGATCTGGTGGAATACCTTCTTTATCTTGAATTTTAGCTTTTACATTTTCAATTGTATCCGAAGGCTCGACTTCGAGTGTAATAGTTTTGCCTGTGAGTGTTTTGACGAAAATTTGCATGTTTAATTACCTACAAGAAAAAAAAAAAATAAATAAATAAATCATTCAATTGAATATATATTTTAAATAAAAAATCTTACTTGTTTGTTAAACTGTGTAGATGTTTATGTCGTGTAAGAACAGAGGATGTAACTGATGAAAGAAAGAATATGCAGCTTATTTTATAGGGCTCTGTCGATTTTTTTTTTTTCTTGGGAGCTTTTCTTTTTTTCGTTCTTAGTCAATATTGCTGCTTACTTCAAACAGTATTTGCCTGTTACTCGTCGGATTGTTTTCTTTTTTTTGCTTTATGAAAGACGACGAGATGAAGAGAGAATGTCCTCGTCGTCATCATGTGATGCGAGTAGGAAGAAAAAGAAATGTGTGTATGATGAAATTTGCCCTCTCGACGGGCAGGGTCGCAATATTTGGTTAAAGGGGGGGGGGGGGGGGGGGGGCTCTTTCTCGAGTTTTTTTTTTATATATGTACGCACTTATCAGTATGACGTACCTGCTGTTGAATAATATGATTCAAGGCAAAAAGAAAAATATAAAAAATAAAAAACACTAAACAAAATAATAAGGAGGGCGCGAAAAATTTCCAAGTAATGTTTTTCTATCATCATGTTTATTTGCTCTATATAACAAAATAGAAAAATAAAAAGGGGGAAAAAAACAAGCCAAGAGACAAAATAGTTTATTTATTTTGTTTGTTGAATTTTAGTAATAATTTCATGATGAATTTCTAATTTATTTTTTTCTGTATCATTCATTAATGATGTTTTTTTTATTTCTATATAAATAATTAATAAGATTTTAATTATTTTTTTTTTAAATAAATTTAGTCTTTTATAAAGAAATTATCGTATGAATTAAGTTAGTTCAAAATAGATATTTATTTATTTCAATTGATTGAATAGTTTATAGTAAATATCTTAGATATTTAGAAGAGAATTTATTTTACTAATCTCTTTATGAATAATAAATTGAACAATAATAGAATATTTATAAGATATAAATTTATGTATCTTAATCAAACTTTATTTTCTTCTCTATGAATATCATTTTGTATTTGTTGATATTTTTTAATTTCATCTTCAAATTTTTTTTTCTTAAGATTTATTGCCATTTAAAACTCAAAATTATTTCTACTAATTTATTCTGTTAACACCAAGAAAGAATACATTTTTTTTTAAATTTTATTAACAAAACAAAAAAAAAGTATCACACTCGAGGATACCAAACACGCGGTAAACGTTGTTTAAGTTGTTTTAATACATCAGTATGATATTCATCTGGATATCGATAATATGAATCATAACGTTTATCATCCATACGAGCTAATCGTTCAATCGTAGCATCTTCTTGTACAGTTTCCTAAAGAAATCAAAAAAAAAAAACATTCTTTAATTTTATTGTTAAATTAAAATAAAACAAACCCAATGTCGTCGTCTTAAATATTTATACCATCCATAACGTGTTTTTTCTTTTGTTGCATACCATGGTTCATATTGTTCACTTGTTTGTCTTCTATCTAAAGTTCGTCCTTCAAAACAAAAACGTTCAAAATCTAAATCTTCATCAGGATCAATTTCTAATGATGTTCGAACTAATTGACCATTATTTGGACTTGCTAATAAACGTGGAAAATAATCATTTTCAGGACGATATTCAACTAAATGTAATTGTTTAGCATTTGCCCAATCTTGATATGTTTTCTAAAAAAAATATATATATATATATAAACACTCTTGTCGGATAAGAAAATCATCGAGTTTTAGAGCGTATCGAATGATAGATGAAAAAAAAAATATTCACAATGATTTTCAAAAATTTTTAGTATGTTTTGAACTCTTCGGTTTGAGAACAAAGTGACTCATCGTATAACATTCTCAGAAATTCCATTCTACAAAAGTTTATCAATACATGACTTGATTATCTTCAAAGTTTATGTGCGTTATAACAAAAATCGATCAATCAATGTCAAGAAAAGGTCAATTTTTCGAGTCCTACAGGGAATTTTACGGTAAATACTTTTTAAGTAAGAAAGTCTTTATCTATTAATAATAACGTCATTATGCTCTATCATTTGACATATACAGGTCTTCAGAAAAAAAACAAAATTTCTCCGTTATCAGATCCCTGGAGAGAGAAATATGGGTAGCATGGAAAATTTTTAATTTTAAAGAACAAACTTTAATTAAGTTTCATTATTTAATAACATCTAACTATTCAAAATCTAAATTCATAAGAAACATAAAAACAACTCATGTTAATAGGTCATTTCGGTACTGAAAGAAAAACAAACATTTTGTCATTGTAGAAAGTTCCATATATATATCAACTGATATGTCATGATAAACTAATTAATAATATATAGAAATTCTTTTTCTCGAAAAAAGATATTTATCACAAAATTCCCTGTAGGAATCAAAAAGTTGATTCGAGGAAAAAAAGAAAATACACAAGCGATTATCTTTACTCATAAATTGTTCTATAAAAGATCTAAATTATTTATTTTATTCAATAAGGATTTATTTTTTTTATATTAATTTTTATTTCATTTTACTTGTTTTAATAAACCACGTATAAAAGCTTTTGTTATATTTTGTGAATTAATTGCACCATCAATTTTAGCATATATATCTTTGATACCAATTAATCTACAAAGTAATGCTATTATACGATGACATCGAAGTCCATAACCAGGTGGTCGTTTTTCACAACGAATTTTTGTAAAATAATATGCTTCATAAAAATCATGAAAAATTGTATGTCCATCACAAATTGGTATATAAAGTAATTGTTTTGAAGCAGTTAATTTAGCTTTTTGTAAAGAATGTTGAGCATCTTGTGTTAATGCTTTACCGTAACCTTTAAAGGAAATTTTTTTTTTGAATTCAAGATAAAGAGAATAATTTTTCTTACCAACAAGACCTTTTCCATTACCAACAGCAACAAAAGCAGATGTAAATTTTTTTCGTCCAATTTTTCCAATTGTACGTTGTAAAGTTTTAAATTCAACAAGACGAGAATCAAAATCTTCAAAAGTTACTAAATTAAACATATAATTATTAAATGAAAGATTTTGTTTTTTTTTTTTTTAATATGAAAAAGTATATACTTTCATTAATTGGATCTGGTTGACCAAGACTTTTACCAGCTGGACTACCACCTGTAAAACCACGTTCACTTGGTGGAATTGATAAACGACGAAAACGATCAAGACGATTACGTACTTCAAGTAAACGTTGTTGATGCATTGGATCAGGTGGTTTTTCTGTTATAGGAATAATATCACGACCTTGAACAACTGGTGCATTAAGACCAGGCCATTGTATATTTGATTTGCCTATTTAGTTATTATATAGATTAGATAGAAAAATAAATGTATTTAATTACCTTGACCAATTCGTTGACCAAGATTTAAATCTTTAAATTTTGTTGCACCACGTCGTTTAGCACGACCTCGTTTAGCACCAGCATTACTTACAGATGTTATCGTTTTCCATAAATCTTGTGCAGTAACTATATAAAGAAAGTAAGCTAATCTCTAATCATTTTATCAATCATACAACTAACCATTTGTATAAACACTTGTCCGCACAGGCATAAAAATCATTTGCGGACATTTTTTTACATATTGAAAAAGTGCACCTAACATCTGAAGATATGAAATATAGTTATTTAATTTTCTATTTTCAATCAAATTTATGTCGTATACAACATCTATTATTTTTTGGTTTTACCATACATACATTTACATCATTTACAAACAAACAAACTTAACTAGTGAACACACTAATAATAATAACAACAACAAACAAGAAAAAAAAACACATCGATATGTATATATATTTAACTTTGAACGGCTGTTGGTGCTTGTACAGCTTGATTTTGTGCATCATTATCTTCAACAAATTCTAATGCTTCTTCTCTTGTAACCGATCGTATTTGACTAACTTTATTACGATATGTAATACCATAAAATTTATCACCATATTTAAGTAAATCAGGACCAAATGTTGTTATAATAAATTGAGCTTTTTGACTTAATTCATTAATCATTTCTATAAAAAAATATATACATTTCAACATTAAAAAAAAAAAAGAAACAAAATCTAAAATTCTATACCTGCAACAGCATTTCGATATTGTGGATCAAGTGCTTGATCAATTTCATCAAATAAATAAAATGGTGCTGGATCACATTTTTGTATAGCAAATATTAATGCTAATGCAACAAGAGATTTTTGTCCACCAGATAATTGTTGCATATCACGCATTTCATTTGTACGACCATTAAATGATACTTTTATACCAACACCTGTAAATTCATCAACAGACATTTGTTGTCCTGAACTTTGTGATGAAACTTGTTCACTATCATAATCCTAATTTATAAACGAAAACGATTTTTTTTTTTTTTAGGAACAAAAAAAAACTAAAAATTAAACAAACTTCATTATCGCCTTTTTTAATAACTAAATGAGCTGTACCTTCAGGTACAAGTCGTTTAAATACTTCTGTAAAATATAATGAAACTTGTTTAAAAGTAAATTGTATTGTTTCAAAACGTTTATTATCAAGACTTTCAATTAAATCAGCAATATGCTAGAACATAAAAAAGCAATATTTAAATTGTGATAAAAAAGAAGATAAACATACTCGATGTGCTTCATCAATTTCAGCTTTACGATTTGTTAATTTATCACGTTCATCACTAAATTGAAGAAATTGATCAAGTGCTTTTTTATTAACATGTGCATATTTTTTTAATTCAACTATTGCACGATCAAGATCACGTTGAAGCTAAATAAAAATATAATAAATATACAAAACAATTTCAATCGAAATAATTAATTCAATATCAAAATACAAGAGTCGAAAAATCAAAGAAATTTTAACAATTAGATATTTTTAAACACATAGCTCAAATCCTAGAGAACACAATGAAAGGTTCCGCATTTAATCAGTGAATGGGCGGTGCCCAACAGAAATTTTGATTCGCCCACTTAGAA